GTGAGTAAAAGGAAAAAAAGAGAACCGAGGAAAAGCCAGTGTATGCTTGCATCAGCTAAGAGTATGAAATTCCTCGGCTGATTACGGTCAATATTATAAAATATTAGTACCGAGTGGAACAAGATCTCACCTTTGGCTCGGTAATCAAAACGCCGAATTGGTAATCGCCTGGGCCAAGCAAGCTTCCCATGCGCTGACTTGTACATCGGCTGGCCACCGCAAATCGCTCCGTAGGCCTCACATAAAAAGAATTAAACAGAACGAGATAAGCACCACGCGTAAGCGGTTGCGTCGCGAATTCGTAACACTTTGTACGTCGGTGCAAGGATCCTATTTAAGTGTAATGGCTACATTTTGTGCTGTTTGCTCGTTGTTATCAAGCAAGTAAAAAATAAAATTTCGAGAGAATGGCAACAATGAGAAGGTGATGCATCTTGAGAAAAATCATGGTTCGACCTAGAAGAGTCGATGTCCCATTTGACGCGACGCAGCCGCTTACGCGTAGCGCTTGTCCCATTTTGTTCTTTAAGTTCTTCTCTATACATACAAGCGCCGCTAGGGCGCTGAATAAAGTTAAAAGCAGGGATGCATCACAAATTGATTCGGAACAACAAAACTTCATCCTTTGCCCCTGGGTTTTTATCGAGAGGTTTATAACTCTTTATATGTTGAAGACAGCTAGAGTGGAAGTCTCTGGATGGTTCAACCTAATAATCACTTGGAGTTTACAATCGAGAAACGGATCGCAATTGAGAAGTGACTTTATGAAAAATGTGTTAATTCGGCGATTCAAACAGGTCAGAGAAGAACCTTTCTGTGTCTTCTTCAAGGTACTAATAAATCTACTACTTTTCAAAGGACAAGGATGGAACGTGGACTGGTGGCGAAGTTGTGTCAGAAAACCCTGAAGGGCGAATCAATGTAGGGGTATGTACTATTCCCTTTCAAAGCGAATTGAATGCGGCCAATCCTTGATCACATCAAAATTATACATCTGTCTATCGCGATCGTCCGTAAAGTCAGTAATAACAGTAGAGCTGATGCTCTGGCTAATTTCAAGTGGAATAACACGCTATATCAATGAACGCAAGGCGATTGTGGACGAGACAATGTGCAACACGACCTAGAAATGAGGTGCCAGTATTGGGCTATCTAAGAACCTCTATGGAATTACCAGTACAATATAGAAAGAAAGTTATATCTGTAGTACACAGAATTTATATCCTTTTTACGAGTCTACCATACAAGCTGTACAGTGATTTGGATGAAACCGGTACCGATAAACTAGGTTAGTGCCTCTTGTTCACTTAATCACTTGGTACTATTAGAGTAACCGAAGATGTGTTTGTTTCACTCAACGGGTACACCACCCTGCCATACAGCACGGAATTCTGACCGACCACTGAAGTAGGTGAAGAGAAATTTGCCGTGATATGCAAGTCAATGGAACGATGAATTTGCAAAGTGTTACTACGTGAACATATCACAAATGTAGAGCGCTGCTCCGTCGATAAATTGGATCCTGTTGGACCACAAGCGAGCGTCGAGTAGTTCTCAAAGCGTTGAGCCGATCCAGTGGTCAATATGCTCAGTCATCAGTGGAAATGATGAGCATAGGACCCGAATAAATGGAGTTGGCTTGGCCATTATGTATCTAGATCCTACTTTTAGCTATCACCTGGATTCAAGTTCGACACCAATTGCTACATTTACACAATAAATGTAACACTCGCAAATGGAGGAACCGTCAATGGAAGAAGTGAAGAACTGTGTTACTGTAAGTTCGTAATATCAAGCTTTTCAAGATCACCTTTATCGCCACTGCATACGATTTGTTCAGCTAAATGCAAACGTTCTGGGAGATCGTAGATTATGTTCNTACCAGTACAATATAGAAAGAAAGTTATATCTGTAGTACACAGAATTTATATCCTTTTTACGAGTCTACCATACAAGCTGTACAGTGATTTGGATGAAACCGGTACCGATAAACTAGGTTAGTGCCTCTTGTTCACTTAATTACTTGGTACTAGTAACCGAAGATGTGTTTGTTTCACTCAACGGGTACACCACCCTGCCATACAGCACGGAATTCTGACCGTCCACTGAAGCAGGCGAAGATAAATTTGCCGTGATGTGCAAGTCAATGGAACGATGAATTTGCAAAGTGTTACTACGTGAACATATCACAAATGTAGAGCGCTGCTCCGTCGTATAAATTGGATCCTGTTGGACCACAAGCGAGCGTGGAGAAGTTCTTAAAGTGTTGAGCCGATCCAATGGTCAATATGTTCGGTCATCAGTGGAAACGATGAGCATAGGACCCGAATAAATGGAGTTGGCTTGGCCATTATGTATCTAGATCCTACTTTCAGCTATCACCTGGATTCAAGTTCGACACCAATTGCTACATTTACACCATAAATGTAACACTCGCAAATGGAGGAACCGTCAATGGAAGAAGTGAAGAACTGTGTTACTGTAAGTTCGTAATATCAAGCTTTTCAAGATCACCTTTATCGCCACTGCATACGATTTGTTCAGCTAAATGCAAACGTTCTGGGAGATCGTAGATTATGTTCGGGGTTTCAGTAGTTGAGAATCCCTATCTGTCAATATGAGCGAAAGTTCAGATTAGGCACCCGGTTTCTACATTTCACAGACAACGTATTTCCTTTTATGATATAACTCTATTGAAATGCACGAATCCATAGAATGTCTCATACACGAAGCGCTAAAAAAGTACTCTAGGCAAGGATAGGATGGACGGGATGGACGTTATGACCAGATTACTAGAATATCACGATCACTCGTTTTACCCAGGACCTATAGACAGATCACGGTATGTGCCGGGTATGGGTACATTCACCCAGAACTGGATGAACGCTGCAAATCGCGCGGCGAAATTCGTTGCGACTTGAACGACTAAGCGCCAACCATTTGGGCCCAAATTTGAAATAGAGTGGATTGGTAGTATCAACTGACCATACTAATCTACTCTACTTCAAGTTGGCGCCCAAATGATAGCTGCCAAAATCGTCCTAAACGCTACGGATCTCGCCGCGCCACCTGCCGCTTCCATTGGCTGCTTTCATAGTCCGCCGGCCGGCCGGCCGGCCGGCG